AAAAAAATACAATAACTCGAAAAAATGAAGACTTTAACCCCCTGTAGCTACAAAAAAGCAGAATCGGACCTCTGTAGATATACTCGTAAAAAATAAATCTTATTTTTACCTGAGGAAGCTCCCCACGAAATATGGGACATGTTTTTGAAACACCTTGTATATTATTCGTCTGAGTAAAACGCTGTTAACGATAAAAATAAAATCTTAAAAAATAAGAAACACTCATAACGAAAAACACAAAACAAATTCACTAAAAACGGGAAAGAAAAAGATCTAAATATGATAAAAATAGCATTACAAAAGTAACAATTAAAACAATGTAAAAAACACAGAGGCAAGCCTACGAAAGAAACAAGAAACTATAAATTAAGTCATGATAAATGAAAAAGATCGTATTCATATTCATGGAGCTGCCGAGTTGTAGAGCGCAGCGATATGAAACCGTTTAAAAGTAAACGATTTTCAATTGGACATTGTCGTGGTACGTCCGTCCGATCCGCCAGACTTAGTGCCCCATACAATTCTAATAAAACCATTCGGTTAAACGTAACGCGATATCAGAAGACTTAATTGGAGCGATAAAAATGGAAAACGGCGCCTCGATGTAAATCGATCTCGGATCGTTTGCGATTTTATTGGACGAGGTACTACTTCGCGAAGTTGAAAACGACAGTCGTTGAAAGGATGATACCTTTACGGTCGTTTGGTGATGCGGCGTGCTTTAATATTTTTTGAATGTTGCTTTATGAAACGAAAGCAGTACCACCGTATAAACAAAAGATTGTATACCGGGTGCGTCTCAAAAGTCCCTCCTCGCCTCTATAACTTCTTTATTTTTCCAGAAAAAAAAACGAGATTTGATATGTTAGTATATGACATAAATTAGAATTGGTTGACGTATTCAGTTGTTATTGGTCACTTCTTGTTTCACCGGAAATGACTATACAGGGTTGTTCACCACATACGACACGGAGTATTGTAACAAAACGATTAGATTTTTACAAATTGTAAGTTTTGGGTTCGTTGAAGGACTATTAGAGCTACAATTTAAAAATATTTTTACAAGATACAGAGTGTCCCAAATAAGTAAAAAATATTATAGTTGTATTTTTTAAATGGAACACCCTGTATATTATTCTATTTTTGGATTCTACGATTCAAATAAAGGTAAATTTGATTAAGGTTTATCACACTTAAACCTTACCGTTTTTGAAATATTTTCAATTTTATTAAATTGCAGACAAAATTTTGAGGCTTCATTTCTCCAAGGGTATCATAGTTTTTAATACTAAATATTTACTGAAGATTATTTATTGATTAGATATTATGTAGCAATAATAACATTTTTACTAGCTTATACAGAGTGTCCAAAAATTTATATTAAATAATTACTAGTTTTAAACGACAATAACTTGTTTAATTTAAATGAAACATCCTATATATTTTAGGAGAATTAGATGTACAATTTAATTGTCTATCAAATTATATTATACCATTTTTTACCCATTTCTTCAAGTTTTCATAGAAAATGCATCTTCTTATAATTTAGACCTCATTTATCACTATACCCATGGAATATTGACATTTCAGATTTTTTTAAAGCAACATATATGTACAAAATATACAGGTGGTAAATATTGCAAGCTTATTGGTATACAAAAAGACTATTTAAATCTTTGTAAAAGAGTATACCAATTAAATATACCACCATTATTTCCCACCAAAAATTAGTTAATTACATACTTTTAAATTCTTTTAATTAATAAAGTATTCTAAATAAATGTGGATTTGGCTCAGAAATCAATATAATAATAAGTTTTAAAAATGATCGTCTCTGTTTTTATAAATTAGCATTCGTCAAAAAATGAAATAAAATTTATAGTGTTACTTTTTACGACAGTGTCTAATATACACACAAAATTCAGTTTTTTAGTTTTGGAGCAATTATTATTAATCAACGTAAACAGTCAATTAATATAGTTTGAATACTGGGATCATATTAATTGGTCCTCGTTAGCAAAAAATATTTAAACAGTTTTTTATTTTATTTTTTAATGAAATAAGCGAACTATATCGACAATATTAGTGTCTGTATATTCTTTGAAAATTTGTTACATCTTTAAAAATAATATAAAATGTCAATATTCCATGGGTATAGTGATTAATGAGGTCTAAATTATAAGAAAATGCATTTTCTACGAAAATTTGAAGAGATGAGTAAAAAATCGCATAATACAATTTGATAGACAATTAAATTGTGCATATGATTCACATAAAATATACAGGGTGTTCTATTTAAATTAAACAAGTTATTGCCGTTTAAAGCTAGTAATTATTTAATATACATTTTTGGACACTCTGTATAAGCTAGTAAAAATTTTATTATTTACTACATAATATCTGATCAATAAATAATCTTCAGTAAATATTTAGTATTAAAAACTTTGATACCCTTGGGAGAAATGTAGCCTTAAAATGTTTACTACAATTTCATAAAATTGAAAATATTTCAAAAACGGTTTGGTTTAAGTGTGATAAACCTTAATCAAATTTACCTTTATTTTAATCGTAGAATCTAAAAATAGAATAATATACAGGGTGTTCCATTTAAAAAAATACAACTATAATATACTTTACTTATTTGGAACACTCCGTATCTTGTAAAAATATTTTTAAATTGTAGCTCTAATAGTCCTTCAACGAACCCAAAATTTACAATTTGTAAAAATCTAATCGTTTAGCTACAATAAATACTCTGTGTCGTATGTGGTGAACGACCCTGTATAACTTTTGATTTTTAATGACACCCTCGGTATTTTTTCGCTATATTCGATAGAAAATGACACTTTAAAAAAAACTATTTTAAATTACAATCTAGAGTGCCATAGCTGTGTTAAAAACAGCAATTTTTAATTAAGAAGCCTTGGAAAAATATATTTGGTTTGGTTTGATTTGATCGTCTAATGTTTTTCGTGTCTTTTCCTGGCCGGTTAAAAGTTGCCCAAATCGTATTTTTAACCATATCTCATATTTTCAAATGAAACGAGGGTGGCTCATTAACATATTTGAAAAAATCATCATTTACGAACATTACGAGTCAAATCAATCTGTTATTCAGTAATTCAATCTGCATAAAGTAAGAAAATACCGAGGGTGCCATTTAAAAATCAAAAGTTGTAGTCATATCCGGTGAAACAGGAAGTGATCAAAGACAATTAAAGGGGTGGCTGCAATAACCAGACAGCTCCATTTTAATAAATTTGTGGGAAATCGAAAAAGAGTTGCTCGGTTCTTGCCGCAAACCCAGAGCAAGGCAGCTCCAACTAACGTCGCTATTTCTGTACTGTTATATTGAGAGAACTGATTGTTGCAGGAAACGATCGGCCAATTTTTTTAAAGGGTAATTCACTAAAAATCTCATTTTCGAAAAAACTGGAGCTGCCTGGTTATTGCAGCCATCCCTTCAGTTGAATACGTCAATCAATCCTAATTGATGTCATATACTAATATACCAAATCTCGTTTTTTTATGTGAAAAAATAAAAAAAAGTTATAGGGGTGAGCCACTGTTGAGATGCACCCGGTATTGGTAGTATTATTTGAATTATGAAATATTTCATCTTTGATGCGTGTCACCAAAAATGAGCTCATCAGCGTGTCGTAGGTTCGCCATCACCGCCAAAGACGTATAATTAGGGTTTCCAAAACCGAGATCTCGAGATCCTGGTGTATGTTTATTGTTTATCCCCCAAATCCTGATATTAAATCCCGGGATCCCGAAAATCTCGAAAAATTTAAAAGCCCAATCTACAATGATTCGACTTTATACACTTTAGTCTTCCAAAGATCATAATATTTTATTTATACTAAGCAGAACGGTAATATTTGAAAGTTATATTTCCGTGTTTGTAACAATTGGTTTAACTTATGTTTTTTTTTGGTTCTGTTTTGCAACAAGAATTAGAATTTTTTTACTTACTAAATATGAATGTTACTTTGTTTTGGCTATTTTAATAAAGCTCTTTTCTCACTTTTCTTTTTGATATACAGGGTGTTCCTTAATGACATGCTAATATTTAAGGGCGTGATTCTTGGACTATTCTAAGAGAAAAAAAAAACATTTTAATTTCTGAGATACAGGGTGGTAAATTTTTCTAAAAAAACCTTTTTCATAATAACTCTGATTTTATTACAGATATCTTTATCTTATCTTTTGAAACTTTTTGAAAAAGTATATAATTTATTTCAAACAGTGCCGGCCATACCGGTTTTACATTGAATATTTTTGGAGAAAAAAAGTGTTACATCACTGACTTGTCTTAAAATAAAAATTATTTTCCAAATCTTCATTAATTTCTAACATTTTTTATTTTTTGATTTTTTTTGTTCGACGCATAGTTTTTGCTTAAAAAAATTAAAGTCAATTTATTTCACGGTCAAATCGCTGAAATATGATCTGATGACTGCTGTTTGGAAATCATTTCTGCATCGGCTGGAAGGAAACTAAGAAATAAAACATTTTTTTTGAACTAGTATAGAAAAAATTAGAAAATTTTACCACCCTGTATCTGAAAAGTTAAGATGTTTTTGGACATATTTTATATTCAGATGGACATATTTTATATTCAGATGAAGTTTTTTTCTTAGAATAGGTCCAAGAATCACCTCCTTAAATATTAGCATATCATTAAGGAACATCCTGTATGTAGCTGCATTTTTATTACGTAGGTATATTTTTATACTAAATTTCTCATTCTGATAGTCAATTTCGACATCCCGGGATTATAGGTTCTTATCCCGGGTTTTCAAAACGGGATCCCGATCCCGAAATTTGGAAACCCGACATGACTTTGAATCAGTCTTGCGACAAAAATATACTCTGAACTTAAGAAAATAGTTTTATCAGTTTGGTAGTACTCTGCGTTATAAACTTATAAACCTCGCCCGATGTTAATAATACTGTAAAGCCCGTCGCCCTCCGTAGCCGCCCTTTTCACCTACCTGTCCGCGGTACCGCTTCGACCTCTCGGCTGACCTCTTCGGCGCCGCCGTCACTTTGCAGCACCGCCGACCGCCTCGCCGGTAGTACCAACGCCGCGTCTTCTGCTGTGACCGACTTCTCTCTTCTCTCTTGAGCGACGCGGCGGTTCGCGGGGACAGGGGAACCCCCCACGATCGCACCTGTTCACTTCCATCGCCTCCCTAGACCATCCCAGCCTACTAAGGGTTGATTCCAGGTGGTACCGGGGTAGTTCCGGGGGTGTAGTACCATGGGTGGTACCTCGGGGTCGTTGGGGTGGTACCGGGGCCGGGAATAAGGGGATTCTGCGGCCAGATGGGCGCGTGCACATGGGTCAATTGCCGCCGTTTGCGTTGTTGTTGTTGAGGCCGGCTGGCGACGCTGGCTGGTCGTACCGTAACAAGTCTGAAACATACGGTCGGATTATTGGAGAGTGTTTGTAGGTGTGTGGCGTAATCGAGGTGATTTTTGTTAATTAGGGAATAAAGGGCAGAAAGTTATGATATACCGGGTGGCTCGAATTCGACGCTCATCATTGGGATTTCGGAAACCGTACGAGATACAGGGTCGGTTAAATGGAGGCAAAGTTGCGCAATTTGATGCTCAATAAAATGCCGTATTGCATTTTGAAAAATTGCGAATACTTCCGAATATATTCGAAAAAATAACGGAATTTTCAATTTTGTTTTCTATTGTTTCCTGGCTTTATTTGTTAAGATAACTTAAAATGAAAAACACATTTTCATGGCCACTTTTTCTGCTCTATAACTCTGTGTGATTAAATATTGAATCTGACGTTTCGGCTTCTGGCGACCATCATCAACTTATTTTTTTTTAAATACGGACCTAATTTTTTTTCAATTTAATTAAATCCTTTCATCACTCTTAAAACACTATATATAGTCACTTTGATATTTGCCGACGTTTCGTACAGAAATTTCCATCACCAGAATATTATATGCAAAAAAAAATAAATAAAAATGCAATACGGCATTTTATTGAGCAGCAAATTGCGCAACTTTGCTTCCATTTAACCGATCCTGTATCTCTTACGGTTTCCGAAATCCCAATGATGAGCGTCGAATTCGAGCCACCCTGTACAGTATGCCCCGGATAGTCCTTACAAGAGGAAATACTTTTTATTATTAACATTTTGAGGAGAATGTTTTCTTTATAAAAAAAAATTCTTATTCTAAAATGGTTAAACTAGTTCATACATTTCCAAAAACAAGTCACTATTCAGGGTTGGGTAGGTAGAAAATTTTATATTTTCTACCGTATTTTCTACACCAACTAATTTTCTACATTTTTTACATGTCCAGACGTAGAAAATTAGTTTTGTATATTATAAGCCTTATTTGAGTTTATATTTATTTCAAATACTTCAGTCACAACGATATTCACTTCCATATTATTTTAAATTGATATGTACAACGGGAGGATGCGTGACAGTGACTGTTGAGGCATATTGTATTTTCTGTCATTTTCTGGATGTCGTCTGTCGAAATCTTTCTCGATTTGTTACACACTATAGTCGAAGTTTACAGATACGTGGATACAGATATCTAGTGCGTGTCAAAATTTAAGGAAAAAGTCATTTTTTTTTAATTGTCAAAGTAAAAACGGTAAAGAGAAAATATGTTTCTTCTATCACGATATACCGGCCCTAAAAATATTTGCACTTATTTGAAAGACCCACCCTGTATATTTTCATATTTTTTTTTATTTTTCTCTAAAGCGGTATGGAAATTTGTGTAACTTTTTTGTGTAGTAAGTGTAAACGGGCTTAACCTTTGCTTAACCATATCAGAGCAAGTAAAATTTTTTATAAAGACTGCATTTTTTTCAAAATGTTAATAATAAAATTGGCGCTACACGGCGTGATAATTTGAAAAATTGGAAATATCTATTAGAAACAAATTAGGAATCATCCCATACATTATCGTAGTATAATTCGGTTGGCCATTACTTATATGACTGAGGTACGCGGTTCGGAGTTAGATAAACGAAGTAGACTCAGACCAGATTAGTCCTGACAGCAAAAAGGAGAACTTAATTTTAAATATTTTACTTAAGCCCGGTCTGCACATAGCGCTTTACCTGTCAGTCAAAACGTTTAAAGTAAAACATTGCATGTATACGAAACAATGGACCGTTTTGCTTGAACTGAATTAAATCACTATAGAGAACTGATACGTGATCATTCAGTTTTGCAACAAAAAACATATACAGGGTGTCTTAATAAAGGCCAATATTTTTAGGGGTAGTATATTTCGATCCGAAAAACACGTCTGTGACCAAAAAAAAATTGAAAATTTGGAATTTTTTGAAAAACAAATTTCAATTTTTTTTTATTTTTTAGTTAAAAATTATAATTTCTTGATAATATGGCAATATAGGTAGTAGATTAAATTTACAAGAAAGAAAATCCAGAAAAGATCATTGGTTCTCAAAATTGAAGCAAAAAATCATATTTTTTTAAATTTTCAAAGTAAAATAACTCGGTTATTTTGGAAATATTTGGAAAACGGCAAAGAAAAAATATGTTTCTTTTATCGAGATCTACCAGCCCTGAAAATATTTGCGCTTATTTAAGACTCGCCCTGTATAAATATTATAGCATCTTTAATAACCGGCTTGGCTTTCAAAAATCTAATACTTTTTCATATAGCTTCACAAAATTTTACAAAATTGTTTAGAGATATTTAATGACTATTATTACTATACTGGGTGCTTCTCAAAAATGGTTCACCCCTATAACTTTTTTATTTTTTCAGATAAAATTATATTATTAGTTTAGATTTAGATAAGACATAAATTAGGATTGATTGACGTATTCAGCTGTTTTGGATCACTTCCTGTTTCACCGGAAATGACTACAACTTTTTATTTTTAAATAGCACCCTCGGTATATTTTTTACCTTATTAGAAAATAACACTCTGAATAGAATGATATGTCATATGTCAACTTTTCACATTTTTGTTTACAAAAAATCGTATTTTAAATTTCAATCTAGAGTGCCATATGGCTGTGTTAAAAACACTAATTTTTAATCAAGGAGCCTTGGGAAATTAGATTTCATCATCTAATGTTTTCTGTCATGGCCGGTTAAAAGATGGCCCAAATCGTATTTTTACTAATATCTCATTTTTTTCATATGGAACAAGGGTGGCTCATTAGCATATTTGGAAAAAGAATTTTTTTACGAATAATTTGGTACCACACACTTGGTATTTCGAGTCAAATTGTCGTTATGAACCGCATGTTACAATTTCAAATAAACCATATGTGAAAATGTCAAAAGTTGACATGTGATATGTCATTCTGTTTAGAGTGTTATTTTCTATCGAATATAGTAAAAAATACCGAGAGTGCCATTTAAAAATCAAAAGTTGAATATGTCAATCAGTCCTAATTTATGTCATATACTAACATACGAAATCTCGTTTTTTTATCTGAAGAAATAAAAAAGTTGTAAGGGTGAGCCACTTTTGAGATGCACCCGGTATACTGGTAATATTATTTTTAAAATTAACTTTGGCTGTTGTAATGAAATTTAAGCCGTAAATCATTTTTTTACTAAAATTCCATTTTTTTCCATTTTCTTTTCAATTTCACCAGACCCAATGCAATAATTGATAAAACCGCAGGCAAAATATCTAGTGTGTTCGCTAGTTTATGTTTATAATCCGTTTTACCGTCGAGACTAACATATACAGACAACCGCCTTGAGAATTGCCATCAGTATCAGTACTTTGGTAAATTAAATATTTTAGTACTCCTAAAATTTTAACGGTCCCTCAGATATACCAATATTAAAATATTTGAACGTAGCACGTGCCAATTACAGCCTTTTCATCCTCTAACGAGTGCATGATATAATAAAGCCGGTCTTATTATTTTCAGAGCAAAAAAAAATCCGAAAAGTCATTCTTTAAAAAATAAAAACCCGTTTTCTGGTTTTAATAACATACAGTTTGGGTAGTACGCGCGGCACTAAAAAGACTTTAAAGATCTCGTCGATTAGATAATGTTATATCTCGATGGTTAAGTCCTATCAGATTTAGTACCATTATCGGTGTAATAATAGGGTGGTACCGCGCGTGATGAAAAGAACAAGTGTTTGAAATTATTTTTTTCTTCGTTAACGTGTCTTGAGTTGAAATTAGCCTGATAAAACTTAATAGAGATGAGAACATGTAAAGATTTTTGATAAAATATTTTTAGTAATATTTTGGTCAGCATGCTATATTTTTTGTTATAACTATATTTTCATTCATAGTAGTCAAAAATTGTACATATACCGGGTGGTGCATCGTAAAAAAAATAATTTTGTACTGTCCAAATTTTGGCTTCTTAATTAATTTTACAGCTAAGGGTGCGTTTATGTTGGAGCTGCGATAAACGATAAAAGCAGTGATAAAAGCAACGACAAGAACTGTGCAAAATTCACTTCTATAATGTGCCGTTCATAGTGGAGCTGTGATAGTAACGACGATCTCTGCTTTGCAAGTAGATGTTGAGACAAAATCAATCAATTGCAAATATATTTGTTTAAAATGAGTGATTCCGAAGAGGAATTATTTTTAGCTTCAAATGCTGTTAAATATTATATTGTTAAAACTGCAGATAAAATACGCAAATTCTGTGCACACCTTACAAATACCTTGTAAGGAGTTTGTTTGGAGAATTTTACAATTTCAATCTTTTGTGATGGTTTTATTTGTTTGGTCCCACAAGGGGCAGGTCTAATAAATATTTCACTTATTAAATTATCGGTATCCATGTCGATCACCCTTGATATAAAAGCAAAGAAAATAGCCAAAACAATTAGCGCTGCTCTTATCGTTGCTTAATTGCAAAGTGTGTCTCGACTCGTTGCTCCAATATAAACACCTACATATAAATTAATATAATAATATTCTTTGCTTCGCAACTATCGCTGCTCTTATCGTTTATCGTCGCTCCAACATAAACGCACCCTAAGTCATAAATAAGATTTTTAAAGTTCTACTTATGCTGAAAACACATGTCAAATTTGAACATCATTGTCAAATGTAATTTGTTGTACTGTCCATACACTACTACGTTATAGTACCAACGCTTAGTGTCTCTAAAATGTATTTTTGTAATTAAAAACTGGTTCGAATGAGACAAAAGTCTATAGAGAATACAGTTTGACATTGACAAAATTGTAGGATGACAACTTAAGATACGTTGACATTTGCTTGGTTTTGCAATGTTACCTGTTCAGTTTTAATTTAAAAATAGATGCAGTTTATCTTAAATTACTCATAATCGGCTTGTCCAAAATTGTTCAAATTTGGCATGTGTATTCAGCATACGCAGACCTTTAAAAAACCTATTTCCAACTTCGCTCTAAAATTAACAGGGGAGCCAATATCTGGACAAGTTCAAAACTTGCATTCGATTTCTTTTTTATTCCTTCTGTTACATCTTTTTTTTTGGTCCATAACTGAGTCTCTTTTTTTATAATTAGCGTCTATGTTATAAAATAGTTTAATTTTCAAATATACATTTTGAAAAAAAAACTTGTATTACAGCTAACTGCTAATTGTGTAAGCGTTTTTTAAGAAGATATTGAGGAAAATAGTTAATAAGTATGTATTTAAAGAATTTGTAATTGATTTTTTTTGGCTGATTAAAAACTAAAATTGTTAAAGTTGTTTTTGTGTAATACAAATATATTTTTTGTGTAATTTTAATTATGTACAGAAAAATAATGTTTGTATATAGTGATGTATACAGGGTGAGTCTTAAATAAGTGCAAATATTTTTAGGGATAGTATATTTCGACCCCAGAAACACGTCGATGAGATTTTTTTCGCAAAAAAAAAATTAAAATTTGGAATCTTTACAATATGGCAACATAGATAGTAGATTAAATTTACACGAAAGAACATCCAGAAAATATCCAGTGGTTATCAAAATTTAAGCGAAAAATCTATTTTTTAAATCTTCAAAGTGAAGTATCTCGGTTATTTTGGACTTATTTGAGAGACGACAAAGAGAAAATTTGTCTCTTTTATCGAGATCTACCAACTCTGAAAATGTATTGGCACTTATTTAAGACTCGCCCTGTATAAATATTATCGCATCTTTAATCGACTTTTAAAAATATACTATTTTTGAATAGTTTCACAAAATAATGTAATTTTACAAAATTGTGTACCCTGAATACGCAGCTGTTGCAAATTTCATAAATTTTGAAGTTTTTGGTGCGAACATTTTTTTTACATATTTCATCCATTACAGTGAAAAATAAATAGTTATGCCTGTATTTAATCTTATAAAATATATTTCATTTTACTTTTTAACACATGTCCAGAAAAAAATGTATTACGACGATCAAATACTTTTGAAAGTAATAAATTTTGAAAAAAATGATGGTATAAATAAGCAAATACAAAAAATGTATTTTAAGTAATATTTGATGTAAAAGATGGACACATCTGTTACAAGTTTCATCTAAATTAAATTTTTTGGTACAAAAAAGGAACTTTTTTTGACAGATTCAGATGTGTAATGGTAAAAATAACTAGGATATAATATCTATATTATCTGTAACTAGATATGTGTATTTTTTTAAATCTATTATTTTGTAGTACCACGGACAATTGATTTTGTAAGCAGATTTTTAAGAAAATATTAAAAAAAAGTTTAGCAAAAAATTATACTTTTAGAAATTTTTGAAAATATTTTGTATTTCGATTGTAATATAATATTAAAAAATTATGTAGTAAATTTTGTTTTAAATGTAGTATTTTGTGTTAAATGTATTTAATTTTATAATGTAGTAAATTATGTACTAAATTTTGTTAAAAACGGACACACCTGTTTCAACTTTTATTAAATTTAACATATTTGGTAATTAAAAAACGAACTTTTTTATGGATTTTGATTAATTACACAGAAAATAACCAGGTATATCCGTTTTTTTTCATAAATTTTAATATGGTCCTTATTTTAAGTAAATTACGAAGAAAAAAATTTCGAGAGTCAAATATTTTTCTTTTTTTTACGCAAATATATAACAAATGTAAAAAATAGTATATATAATGTATAGTGTTAATATTTATGTAAAAGAAAACGGACACACCTGTAACAACTTTTATTTAATTTATAATATCTAGTCCGAATAAAAAACGAACTTTTTACGGATTTACATGCATTACAGTGAAAATAACCAGGCATGTCCGTTTTCTTTCCTTAAATGTAGTTTCAAAATTTTGTAAATTTAACTCTAATTTTAAGTAGAATTTGTGAAAAAAAAATCGACAATCAAATATTTTTTCTCATTTTTTACGCAAATATAATAGCAAAAATAAAAAAATATTAGTTATAATTTTTATATAAAAAACGGACACACCTGTTACATCTTTTATTTAATTTATATTGTTTAGTCCGAAAAAAACTAACTTTTTTTACGGATTTGGATGCATTACATTAAAAATAACCAGGCATGTTCGTTTTTTCCTTAAATTTAGATGCTAAATTTATAGATACGACCCTTATTTTATGTACGACTACAAAAAAATATTGAAACTATCAAATATTTTTCTATTTTTTTTTTACAAAATATATATAAAAAAGTCAGTACTCACCAACCCCTTTGAAGTACCACCTTTCGGCCCGGGTACCACCGCAGGACCTTTGGTACTCTCTCAGCAGCAACAGCAGCGAGGCACCATCGGTACGGGCACCGAACAACAACTGAGCCGGCTGCGCGCGCTTTTTCGTCCTTCATTCGGCCGCCAGAGCGGTGGCGGCGCTGACATCAGTGGCGGTACCCGCCCCTTAAGGTACCGCCATATAAGGAAGCGCTATTGTTGTCCAGCTACCGGGCTTTTAACTAGTGGAGAGATCGGCAGAGGAAAAAAAGGCCGGCACGCGCTTTCGGCGGGGTGGTACCCTGGTACTGTCCCTGTTATTTGGTTTCGGGGCATTTTTGTGGGTACTACCGGTCTTGATGTTGATGCGAATGGGGACGCAGACCGCTGCAGAGAGACTTTCTTATTTTCTACAATTTTTTTGTATGGTTATGATGAAATTTGTTGTAAGAGAGAATGGTACCACTGTATAAAATATAAAGTGGTATCAAATTTTCGTATTTATTTTTTCGTCAAGAAAAAGACTTTTCACATAATTTATACTGCATAATATTATATATTTTCAGCATTATTTTTTGATGGTCGGTGGGATAGTATCCTTGTATTACCCAGTTTTTTGTTGGATTATAAATCGGAACTACTGGCGTTGATGCGAATGGGGACGACTGCTGCCTAGTATACCACTGTGTAAAATATAAAGTGGTACCAAATTTCGGTATTTATTTTTTAATCAAGAAAAATACTTTTACACAATTTACGAGTATATTACGTGAAAATTATATATTTCCAACATTATTTCTTTGGGAATTTTTAGATGGCCGATAGGTACTGTCCAGTTATTCCCGGATTATAAATTGGTACCTACTATTGGCGTTGATGCGAATGGGGACGACTGCTGTCTAGACTTTCTTATTTTCTACAATTTTTGTATGACTATGGAATATTTTTAGACGGTGGTATGGCTATGATAAAATTTGTTGTAAAATATAATGGTACCACTGTATAAAGTATAGAGTGTATTGTATTTTTTTTCAAAAAAAAAAACTTTTCATTTAACTTACGAGAATTTTTTTTATATTACATTAAAATTATACATTTCAAATATTATTTTTTGGGAATGTTTTGATGAACAGTGGGGTAATACCCTAGTATTGTCTATTTTTTATAAATTGTAAATCGGTACTACGCGGCGTTGATGTCAATGGGGATAATTGCTGCTGAGATTTTCTTGTTTTCTACAATTTTTTGTATGGCTAGGATGAAATTTGTTGTAAGATAGAATGGTACAGCTGTATAAAGTATACAGCGGTACCAAATTTTGGTATTTATTTTTTCTTCAAAAAAACTTTTGACTTAACTTTCGAGTACTATATTACATTAAAATTATATATTTCAAAATTATTTTTTAGGAATGTTTTGATGAACAGTGGGATAATACCCTGGTACTGTTCAGATTTTTAATTATAAATCGGTACTACCGGCGTTGATGCGAATGAGGATAATTGCTACTGATTTTCTCTTATTTTTTACAATTTTTTGTATGGTTATGATGAAATATATAAATAAATTTGAAGATAGAATGGTACCACTGTATGAAATATAAAGTGGTACCAAATTTTAGAATCAATTTTTTCTTCAATAAAAATACTTTTCACATAATTTATATTATATTTAAATGATATATTTTTAACATTTTAACATTGTTTTTCGGGAATTTTTTGATGACCATTGGGTTAGTACCCTAGTACAGCTCAGCTTTTTTCAGATTGTAAGTCGGAAAATCGCCGTTAATGCGAATGGATATAATGACTGCCAAGACTTTCTTATTTTCTACAATTTTTATATTGGCTATGATGAAGTTGATGAAATCTAAAGTAGTGTACAATGAACTGGTAGACAGAACAGATATTCTAGTAAATAACACAACACTGCAAATAGTAGAATATACAGGGTGTTTCAGATTTTAATCGGGAACATTTAGTAGACGATAGAACTTGCAAAAATAAAACAAAAAGTTCATATCAACTTGTAAGATTTAAAGTTTCCTTTTCGAGATACAAGGTACCATTAGAATCCTAATTATAATATTAATTACCAATTAGAATTTAATTTTTTTCGCAAGAAGTAAGCAAGATAGACAAAAAAGTCAGGAGACAAAAAAATATATTTTTAATTACTAAATCCAAAAATAATATTAAACGTCTAAAAATGCAGTTGCGTGCCTATTTTTTCCTTTAAAATAATTTAGCAGTGATGCCCCACCGCCGCCCCTGGCCATTAAACTTAAATCTAATTACATCAAATTAAGTCCCATAGTAAGTATTATAAACGGGTCAAGTTATATCAAAATCGATTAAATAGTTTTTCAAATATCTTAATTTTTTTTCATTTTTTAAGTAAGTTTAACACCCTGTATCTCGAAAAGGAAGCTTAAAAATTTTACAAGTTGATATGAACTTTTTGTTTTATTTTTGCAAGTTCTATCGTCTATTAAATTTTCCCAATTAAAATCTGAGACACCCTGTCTATTTGGGGCAACAACTACACAGCTCGGAATCTTTACTACCAGAAATCAACAGAAGAATTAACTAAGCACGGAGTACTTATGAAAGAAACTCATTCATATTCAAATCTAGAACGCCATTTTATCTAAAGAAGAGAACATTCGACCAATGTGTACTACCAGTCATTACCTATGCATGCGAAATCTGGGTAATTAAAACGGAATTAAAACGGACATTATAAGGAAACTGCAGGTCTCACAACGCTCAATGGAATGAAATATGCTAAGAATAACCAAAAGATACCGTAAAAGAATAGAAGTGGATACGACAAAAGACCCAGATAATAGATGTCATCCACTGAATCAAATTCCTCAAGTGGCAATGGGCAGGACACCTGGCAAGAAGGACAGACAATAGATGGACCACAAAAATTACAGCGTGGTACCCACGACGAATCAAGAGACCTAGAGGAAGACTAAACCTGTGATGAGACCATCATATTAGGAAGTTAGCAAGGATAACTTGGGCCCGCATAGCCAACAATAGACAACAATGGACCCAGCTACAAAGAGAATATCTAAATATGTGATGGAGGCTACACCATAATTGGAAATGGTTTAATAAGCTGAAAATTATTATGTTGAAATTTGTTGTATGAAAGAATGATACCACTTCATAAATGTTTTTCGTAATGCAGCTGGTCTACGAAGCTTTCAGTAAAATAATATTAACAACAATAACATAAAATAATATTATGAATATTAATAATTATAATATTGGAATCAAATTCTTCGATACCCAAACTATACAGGTTTCAAAAGCTGATACTGATAGAGCGTGATATTACTTCTCCATGCTTAATCATTCACCAGTGACAGTCAACTGAAAAAAAATAAACGGCAAGTGCATTTCTTGACAAAATGTCCTGGTAATTAACGTCCCCCCTTAGTATAACCAATAACCATACCAGAAAGGGAAGACTGGAGTAAAGGTAAGCCATTCAAGCTGAGGCAACCTGGTATACAGACGGCTCAAAAACGTCAGAAGGCCTAGGAGTTAGGATAGTAGGGCCGAAACAAGGGAGATCCTCCCACGTAAGCCTATCTAAGGATGTCCCAATTTTCCAGGCAGAAATAACTGCAATCCACTATTGCGTAGCAGAAATAATAAGGCAACAAAGAACAAATCGTTCTGTGGCCGTCTTCACAGACAGCCAAGCGGCGCTAAAGGCACTCGGCTCCGCGGAGGTCAATTCTAGACTAGTCTGGGACTGTGTGCGCGCTCTAAATATTTTAGGCGGACGTAGCATTGCTTTACGTTGGCTTGGGTACCAGGGCACGGGGGTACTAGGGTAACGAAAAGGCAGATGAAAGGGTCAAGCAAGGCTCGTCAATGCCATCTGTGGCCATTCATGCAAAGGCGGTCCGGATCGATGGGTGGCCAATAAATCTTTAGAATGGTGGAGAAACTCAGCAGGCAAAAAAGTTCATTGTAGAACATTCGCTAAAATTCACCGTAGACCTGATAAGCGAGGACAGAAAGACAGTTAAAGCTGTAGTGGGTCTGCTAACAGGTACAACATTGTAAGCTGAATAGGCATCTAAAGCTGATGGGATTGACAGACGAAGTTATTTGTAAATTCTGCCAATCTGCAGAAGAAACGACAACACATTTTATGTCGGTGCGACAGCCTGGCAAATGTGCGGTTCTCGGTAATAGGCAATGATAGGCCATTGCCAGGAAGCTACATGGAGTGTTCAGTCTCCAAGTTGCTAAAATTTGTGAAAGGGATTGGACTGAAGAATGTAATCTAAGGATCAGAATAGGACCACAATAGATCTGAGAAGGTCGCAGTGAATCAGGCCGAGAGCCACCTCTAGGAATCTAATCCAATCTAACATCCTCCCTTGATGCAATCTACATCTACATCTACAACGATAGATTAAAAAATATAACAATTAACGCCTTCTGGTAATGAAAATTCAGAAAATAAACCTGCCTAAATCAATCGACGACGAATCAAAGATAAAGGAAAATGTAAACAAAAAAAATGAAGAAATAAAAAGGGAAGAGTCAAAGAGAAATGGTCCGATGCTCTTAATTTAACGACGTTCGTGAATCTCTCGATCGTTATATAGTTATTTTTTATCTGTGGCGTATATATATTTGCGCGAGTGCGGACCCAGAAGCTCGGCAAAGGTCGCATCTCGCCAGCCCAATGGTCATTAAAGTTAATTCGTCCGTTTTATAGCCTTATTTCTTTCGAACAAAAAACGTACAAATAAAAGTCTTATCTTCGGCAGGCGCTAACCTGAAAGAACTGGAACATTCTTTTAAACAGTCTAGGTTTTTTTTTGGTTTCTATTAAAATTTGTCCAAAAATTCTGAAATAATGTTGAATTAAAATCACTGGCTAAATTACCGCCGGCTGTATAGACAATTAACGAAAGAAAAACCGCCGTTAGACTGTTTCATATATTTATTAACGTGAATACCGCTGAACAACGAGGTACATTTTTCAAGTTTCGGCGGTATTATATAAAGACTACCGCCGTTTGGCGGTATGCTTTTTTAGAAACCCGAAATACTGCCCTTATTTTACCAAATATTATGTTTTATTGATTTTCCCAA